ATAAATCTATACTTTGCCACATGGCTGGTGGCTTACTTGTACTTTACATCTTGCTTGTCATGCTGTAGCTGGGCAGCATTTCCTCTGCTCTCTTTTCTTCTCCCCTATCTCTCCTGAGCTAATGGCCAAGCAGTTTTAATTAATATAAGCCTCTGTGTGTTTACTTGGGTGTGAGCAACTGCAGACTGGGCGGTACACAGAAAAACTTTCAGCTACAGTTAGTGAACTATATAGTCCTACACCAGGGACTAGACAAAATATAGGTTTACTTATCAAGACTGAAGCATGGTAGCATAATCCTATGGACAGAGTTTCATCTCACCCTAGGAAATACACACAGTGAGACTACAATTCAGTTCCCTGCATAAAAGAAAACTCAGATACCTAGTAAATATCCAAGAAGTCTAGTTCTTTTCTCTATAACTAAGCTCATGTGTTGACTTGTCAAGGTTGGCCATGGTAGGTTGAGGAAACTGGTGTGTGGACAAAAAATAACAGTGAGGGAGGAAAAGATGAGGCAGAAAAGGGTAGTACATTGTTGACTCCTGATATCTATGTAACTATCCACTTTGGCCAATAATAAGAGTTTAATCTTTCATGTGCCTCCTTGAGAACAGATAGCTCCCATCTGAGATGAACTAAAATAAACTATATGATAATGAGAAAGATAAGTGTGAATTAGAATAAACTTAGGAGGCTCCAGTGATTGTAATTTCCATCAAAACATATTACTACCATCAACAACAACAAAATAGAGAGAGCACATAAAGAATTGATTGCTCAGTGCAAAGACACATTTCCTTTCTCTTTTGGAAAAATAGAACACAAATGAGCATATGAGGACAAATAGCAATATTATGCTAAGGCTGTGGGAGGTTGGCACCTTTATTTCAGTTATTTCTCCAAATAAGGTTAAATGGATTGTGTTGATGACAGGTAGCCTAAATATTACATCCATCACCTATTTTTCCTATTATTTTCCTCCTTTCTGAAGTTTTATTAAAATGAGAATAAACGGTTAGCTACTGTGTTCATTAGTTTTCAGGGGCTGGCTTAAGAAACAGATTGCTGGTGCCATAAACATAGACCTATGAATTCTGTCATGCAGGCTCTGATGTGGCATGTCAATTCTCAGGGAATGGCTTATCCTAAATAGTGTTTGCTGTTATTCATAAATACATAATGACAGTCATCCTTAAGCAAACTTCATCCAAATCACTCCATCCTGTGCTAGTAATGACTGTAAACCCAGTAAAGAGCTGAGAGGCAGCTGCTCAGGGGTGTTTATAATACTGGGCATTATTCAAATACGTGCTAACCTTCTGCAGCAAAAGGCTGTTCTTAGGAGCAGGAAGGACCACTGTGGATTTCTAAATTTCCAAAGCTAACTGAGAATATGCAGCAATGGGATCAGGCAATTGAACAAGCAGTGAGAAGGGAACATGTTAAATAAGCATCATTGCTTTCTCTCAGGTTAGTAAGAGAGCTAAGCCATATACACATTATTTAAAAGATGCCCTTTGATTTACCCCACAAGTTAAAGGTAAATACATGGGAATAAATATCACATTTGAGAGAAAAGATTGAATATTGATATCACAATGTTTATCTATTAAATTAGCAATCTTACAAATTCAAGTTTCAAAGTAATCCTAGGTTTAATATGGAATAAAAAACATATAGGAAAGTCAGGATAATTTGGGGAAATTACTAATAAAAGTATGAATTAGTAAATATGAAAACATGCTCAGCATTTTTTTAGGTTTTTAAGACAGGGCTTCTCTGTGTAGCCTTGGCTGTCCTGGAACTCACTCTGTAGACCAGGCTTGTCTCATACTCACAAAGATCCACCTGCCTCTGCCTCCCAAGTGTTAGGATTAAAGGCATGCATCACCACTGTCTGTCTCACCAATATTTTTAAAATGGTTTCTGTTATAGCAGATCACTGGGACAACAGTGAAAATCTTATGAAGATGTAAATACCTGAGGGTATTTAGCATATGATAAAAGGGAGAGATTGATGAAAATGTATTGTTGGGACATATGTTAATTTTTAAAAAGATAAAGCCCAAAATATTGATACATTTTTATATCTAAAATCACAAGGTTCAAGTAGAAATAATAATTACTAACTGTGAAAACTTTTGTGAACATAAGGATCAAAGGGGAATATATGTGTTATTTTTCTTAAATGTCTGGAGTGGAAAATTCAAAACAAGGAGATTTAATAAAATTATACAAAAGTATAACGTGCTCAGACATCTCAGATTACCATAAAGGAAACTGACAGATAGATGATCCCCAGGAGTACTAATTCTAGACTGTGACAGTCTAATGAGTATTAAATTAGTAGCAAAATAATTTTATGGATACAATTTTAAAACCATTCAATAGGGAAATGAGAAAACTTGAACACTTTAAAGAACAGCAAAACACACAATTCTCAATTACAGTAAGACAATTGTTCAATCTCACACATAACTAAAGAAATTTAACCTAAATTGATGTTTTTCCCATCAGAATTATGGAAATCTAAAATGCTGATATTATCTAATATTGAATAAAATACAGTTAAACAAATATAGTCTTGCTAGAAGTTTAAGTAGATGATTTTTGTGTGAAGTCTTTGGCAATATCTATAAAAGTGTAAGATATATGTATCCTTTAACTTAATAATTCTTCTAAAATTGTGTTCTATAGTTATATCTACCCCTTTATAAAAATCTGTGCTTAAAGTAAGAGTAAAATATACTACATTTGAATATATATTATATTCTCTCTTTATATATATACTATATGTTGAATATATATTACAACAAATTCTATATTCCCCAAAGAAACTCCACAAATAATTAAATCTGTAAAAAGAAATTGATTAAGTTATAACTCAGTGAATAGAAAGGAATATTTTAAAAAATGTGGGGGGACCTTAATACTTGCTTCTGACTATGCTATGGATCATTATCCTCCATATAAATTGAACTGCAAAGCCTATATCTCAGGGTTATCAAGAAAAATGAAATAGTGTGAGGAATGGAAAGAGTATAACATGATGTTTGCTTCATGGTGAGCATTTAGAAAGTTCCTGTATTCTGCCTTCACAATCATCTATTGAAATGTTGTCATTTAATGCCATGTATGCTCGAGTCTTTTATTTAGATACCTAACACTTGGATAAATTAACTATAAATATGCCTATTGGTGTGATCTTGACTCTGTCCCCTTGATGTGTTTGGCAACTACCCAGCTCTCATTCTGCACACTGACCACATCGCTTTCACAGCTGTCCAGTGTAAATACACATACTAAGTGCCCAGTAAATGCTGTTTCCACAGCTTTCTGACAGGTGGAGAGATGCAGAACTTGCAGGACACAGTATTTATAACCAGTTTCCTACAACTGAATAAGTAGTTAACCAACCATCCAGGGACGAAACTAAGAGGCTGATAAGAACTTATGGCAACAGTTTCTGTGGGTCGATTTCAGAATCCACCTTCTTCTTATGTGTTTGACCATACCTTTTGGAGAGACATTTTATGACTACATGACATAATTCCCATTTCTGTGTTTGGCCTGCTGTACAAATGGAGGCAATCTGCAGGGGAAAAGCTGCTTGCTTGCTCAAGCTTGGTAAACATAAGACCAGGAGATACATCATCTGTGCTGGGAGAGCTATAGTAAAATAATTAGGAAATACTAACAGTATAAAAATAATATTATTTTGGGGAACTTTAAAAAAACTGAATAAAGAAGCAAAATTTTAAAAAAATCATTGAATTATGCCCATGAATAATTGAATTCATATTCAGTCTATTTGAGTAACCACATAAACTTTTTACTGTAGAAAAAGTTGAAGGTGAATTTTAAAGGAGCTGTTGCTAGTTCTAAATTATCATGTCAAGGAGGTAAATAGAGCCACAATATTGATATTTGAAACAAAATCTCTACTTTCCTGCTGCTGTTTTTGCTTGATGGCTGTTTATCCCTCCGCTGGCAACTCCAAAACTACTGCAGAACAGAGCAAGGGCCCTGTGTTGTTAGAAGAATATGCACTACACTTGCAGTTTTCAGACTCTGAGGAAGGTGAGGTGAACTCAAAGTACCTTGCTGAAAGAAGGCTTGTAGCTGTTATTACAAATGATCAAAGCAGGCAATTCTGAGTTGCCTTGGGTCAGTTCTTTACTACAACTATGATTATCTATAAAATAACAGAACTGGGGAAAGTAAGTTCGGCTATGTTATAATTCTTTTATTGCCGAAATTTCATCAGTGCTCAAAAACTGGGAACACTTTGTGACATTGGTTTCTCAGTGTGGATACTCTGTCTTTATCACCAAACAACTCCAGCAAATTCGTCATTGTGATATAGATAGTACAGAATCAGGAAGGGTGGTGCAGAGGGAAGAGCTAGGCTTTGCAGAGGAAGCTATGGGCTCAGTGCCAAATCTACTTCTCCCCACCATCATTCTAACTATTCTCCCTCATGTGAGTCCCTCTGTGTCCTTTAGCATCAGTTTTGTCCTCTGTAAAATGGGGACAATGGTCTCCAAGCCCTGAGATGGTGGCTCTAGGAGGCTATACATACTGAATGCAATTTATCATTGAGGAGTAGTTAACAGAAATAAACACAACAATAATTCAGGAAGGGAGAAATTCATAGTTTATAGATCAGAAAAATCATACAGATCAATATTGTATTTTCAAAAGACATATTATCCAAGTATAAGCCCACATTTGTATTGTACTTCTAGTGTGCAAATATTTATTTTAAATTTAGAAACTATCAGCAAGGTTATTGCAATAACATTCCTTAAGAAGATTCTTTCTCTCTTGTATTATATATACACACGAACAAACTGCATGTTTGTTTAAAAGCTCTTGTCACTTCACACAACAGACACCGCCTGATTTCTCCTTTAAACTGCAATGAGGTCACTCTCCTATGTCTGTGACATAGCATCAGGTTGCCATGGAGATGATAGCTTTACCAGCAGCTCTGCCTTGCCATGACTTCACAACAAGGTTACCAAGAAGCAGATGGGCTGTGAGGCCCACAATCCCCCTTGTCTAAACATAACTAGCATTGATAATTAATTAGCTGAAGCAGCAGGGGGAATTATAGAAAAGTGGAAAAGGTAACAAGATTTCTATTTATTACTTATTTGATAGATCTATTCCTTTTCCTAGAGAGAGACCACACCCTTCCATCCCTGGGGAGGGAAGGATGCGAAGTATACCAAATTTATGTGGCTCTGGCTGGTTTGGATGTGCTAGACCCTTTGATTTCTGGATTAGCATGGGGAAGTAGTTACATTTTTGTTACAGAAATGGTGGGGAGGTGGGTTCTTAACACAATAGCTACCTAGTACACTGACCTTGTAAAAATATTGAGGGCTGACATGATGGCAAGTTCTTGGTCACATCCATACTTGTATCACCCACAACTCATTAGATAGTATGCAGAACTTTGAGGGGTTTGGATTATTAAACTAATTTTAAAAGGAAGAAATTATATATTCTAAATTGCTTCCTCTGAGAGACTGAAAAAAATACATGTTCATAGCTATACACAAGGATATTTGTCTCCAAATATGGGCAGTCTGTGTGTCTGGGCTCTACCAGCGACACATTTTGAGTTGCATTGCAGTTTTCCATCAGTTATCCACGCCCAATTACTTTTGACTGCTTCAATGTGTATGAAATGTTGCTCAAGGCTCATCATTCTTTTCAATGATAAGTACTTAAAAATATGTCTTGTTAATAGTACCAGACACAAGAGACCACAGAGGAAAAGTATGTCCTGTGTCACCATTCTAATCAGAGTTCTGTATGTGAAAAGTGAAGTTGACCCTTCCTTCTCTATTCACACTCCAGGGTTATGGTGCTATTGTGTCTGCAAGAACTTGTGGGTCTTAGGGAGGATGGCTGGAGCCAATTGCGGAGTTCTGCCTCATTAGTTGTACCTTGTGTGGACTGGGACATGGAAGAGGGTAATTGATGCACAGCAAAGCAAATGAAAGTGCTTCTTAAAACATCCTGTGTACATAGATTGAGAAAAGTTCACTGAGATAAAATCAACCCAAATCGACATTCTCTACTCTTAAAACAAATTACTGATAACTTGGTGCACAATGACTTGAATCTTGGTCAGTTCTAGTGGGGAATGATGAATTAGTTAAATTGGTAATCCTTCTCCTCCCATTTTGTGTTCTACTTGGGCTTTTGTTTTGCAATCCTAGAAACGAAAGACAAGGCCTCAGGTTTACTACACTATCACACTACCAGGGAGCCACATGCCCAGTACTGTGACTCCTGTGCTTGTCCATAGGAATGCACTGCTCAAGGATATGTGTCTTCTCATTTCCTGTCCTAGTTCAACTATTTTGTTTATATCTTACATAAACAAATGCTTACAGGACTTGTGATAAATCTTTGTTGACTGGGTAACACATTGAAAAATTTGTCTTATTATTCTTGCATGATTTTAAGATCCAGTTTCTAAAGTGATATTCCTGGCATTATTCAGTTGATGGAATTATTCAAGGAGTACTGGTATCTTCAAGCTCCCTGAAATCATATATGTACCTTTATAATGTCTCTTCAGGTCATGAATAAATCTTAAACCAAGAAATACTACTGTTTTCAGCACAGAAATGATTTTTAGGAATCTTGTTCTTGCCCATGGTCTCTGTTCATCTATTTACTTAAGATATTATTATTAATCAGCTCATATACATCTAAGATCAGACTGTACAGTTTAAAGTGAGTAAGTTAAAATGTCACTCTTTAAGTTGGAATGTGAATTTCATGATTAACAGTCATTATCACAAACATCTGAAGCTCTAATTGACGGCTCGATGTCTTTGAACAGTTAAAAAAAAACGGAAGTACAATTTAATTATTACTTGATTAATATACTGTGTTTGGTATAAAAATACTCCCAGAGATGGGGCACTTGGAAAAATGGATATTCAATAATGAAAGGTTTAGGAATTCGTAATCTAGTTTGATGCTTTGAAAAATGAAATAATAATGATGATGATGATAAATGTTTAATAAGGGCTTGCTATGTTCCAAGCACCGAGCTAATATTTAATTCCATATCCCCCTCCCACCCTGTGCTATCTTAAAAAGAAAGCTTGGAGGACAGAATTATTTTCCTTTCTGTATGAATGAAAAATGTGTTAGGAGGGCTAGGAGACCTGCACCATTTTATACACTTAATAGTTGATGGGAAGAGTTTGTGTGACTTATAGATGGAATAGCGATCTTAATTATTCTGATACTCCAGCTAGTTGTTCATCCCTGTGGTTTCATTCATCTTTTTCACTCTGTTTTAGTATTTCTTTGTTAGGAGAAAATGAGCAGATTATTAATCTCTTTGTTTCACATATGATACAAGCATGCACCATGGTCCTTTACAGATAAGTACCACAGGACATAATTCTTTTGCCATGGATAACACGTACCACCTCATAGGAAACTCAGCATGGGTTTCTGCTTTCTTGGTAGAAGATACCAAGGGGGAGATGATGTATAATTACTTGTCTGGTGTGGTTTGAAATTACGTGAATAACTGTCTATCTAAAGAAGAGTATAGCCATCCATTTTTTTCTCCCAGCCAGTATATGATAAGAACTTTGGGAAGTGAAAGGAACTTTGAGATGGTTTAAAATGAATGACCCAGAGAGCTGGTGATTTATGAGCACTATCTTGTTTTCCCTGAGAACATGACTAATTCCCCAAGCCTGCAAACAAAGAAAGCGAAATAAACAACAAATTCTACAGATGACACTAGAAACACTCCAGAATGAAATAGGATATGTCACATCTGAGCCAACTGTCACGTCTTTAACCCTTCCATCTGTTGCTCTACATTAGAATAAAGAAAGTTAAAAACACAGACCACATCTAGGCTATTAGCTAGGTAATTTGATTTTCAAGTATGTGTGAGACACAGAGGCACACTGTATGACTCTCTCTGTGTGGAAACATTGAGGCTCAAAAATAACCCTATGCCCTTCAGCTACCCAATATGTTTTGTGGCCTCACTCAAAGCCATCTCTGACTGGATACCATACAAAGGGCTTTCCTGGACTTCACCAGAGTGGAATCTAGGGGGTTGCTTTCAGGAAGTCACATGGGGGCTTTCAAAGATATCTTCTTTTATGCCTAATTCGATACAACAATAAAACAAAAGTTGGAGAGAGTATTGAAGTTATAAACAAGTTTGCACATGTTTTCTGACTTTGTTACATCAAAGTGTTGATTTATTATGAGATTCAAAGAGGTACTGGGAAACAGAAATTTAGGAAACATAATAATAGCCAACATACGAAATGCTACAAAAATAATTTTGGTTATTTTAAAAAATATCTTTATGGGTATGACTTTAGGGTGTCTCCTCAGTGGTTCCACATCAGTCCTTCCTAAGCTGACATCCCATTGGCAACACCCCATGGTACATGCTTCTATGGAAATGCACTCTACTGTTAGTGGTTGCAACTAAAGTGGGCACCAGGGACCCTGTGAATGTGACATGCTATAGCATGTTCCAGAAGCTGCTGCTGCTGGTGATCCTCGCTGAGCCATGCCCTTGCAGCCTCTTTGTTCTTACTTGAAATGGGAAGATGGGTGGTGAAGAAAACACCCTAGCAAGAATCCTAGTCTGCCCAGACTTCTTTACCTTATATACAAAATGTTCCTGAGGTTTTGTCGTTGTTGTCATCATCAAATTAGGTTTCTGAGATATCAAAAACTCTTTTTTTATTAAGAATTTTTTTTATTCATTTTCACATCAATCACAGGTTGTTGTCATCTCTTCCCTACTCCCACACCCTCAGCCTCCTATCTTATCCTCTATTCCCTCTTCCAATAAGGTAAGGCTTCCCATGGGGAGTCATCAAAAGCTATTGCAGAAATGTTCATAGTTGGCAATTAGAGGTAACTTCCCTACCTCAAGAATATAAGAGTGGAATGTTAAATACCAGTACCTACTTATTTCTCAGAAACACGGGAATCCTTCCCCCCTATTTCTTCTGTTGTTCTCATTAACAAGTCCCCAGCATTTGGGGGATAAGTATTCGTTTTCCTTCAAATCTTTTTCATCTTGTTCAGACCTTCTGTTTTATCAAACCAAGACAGATTGCATCTTTTGATGGTGTATATGTAGTATCTACAAATATCTGTGCATGTGCTTGGGGATATGTATGTAAGTTTGTGTGTTGGTGCTGTTGTTGCTGCTGCTGTTTGGCTACTCTTGAGCCCTGGGTGTCTTACATACTAAGCAAGATGCTAATACATTCCACTATAATGCTGTCCTCCAGCTTCTACAATAAATATTTTTGAAGTACTACCATTTTAGTTTAATAATTTATTTTAGTAATACTTAGTACTAATAAATGTTACTGTAGCTCACATTTAAGCAGCATGTATACACATCAGTACTCTTACACTCAAATATCAATTCTCTCTGATGTGTCAAACATCTCACTAGTCTTCAAGAATTGAAGTTTAAGCTTTGTTCTCAATGTCAGGCAGGGAAATGGTCATTTCTCTCTATAAAGAGGGGAAAGATGAGACTCATGCTATTCTTTAGTTATTCTTTAGAAAAGAAAAAATAAAACAAAGACATAGCCTCTGAATTGGATATGTGTGATCCATTGGTTAGTGGCATCAATATTCTAAAAATTTACTAGAAATAGACATTGCAAAATTTTGCCTCTACTGTGCTGAATTAGAATCATTAGTCTAAAAAGAAACCCCATTAACCATTTTACAAATGAAAGTTGGAGAAGCATTTAGAAGTGCTTAGAAGATTTCACTTCCATTGACAAAGAACACAGAAAGGAAGTCTCACAAATTAGAAAGTCCCCATCATGACAAGTGGGGAGTAAAGAATGGAGGCAAAGTGGGGAATCTGTGTACATTGTGTGTGTGTGTGTGTGTGTGTGTGTGAGAGAGAGAGAGAGAGAGAGAGAGAGAGAGAGAGAGAGAGAGAGAGAAGACACACACACACACACACACACACACACACACACACACACACACACACAAATAGAGAAAGTCCTATCCAGACACAAAACTACAGAAAGATCCCTGACTGAAGTTTTCAGTACTCCGTAGATGTAAATCT